ACTGGAAACTTACTATTGCCAATCCTAAATCACTTTAAAATCACTATTTTCTGTCCTGGATCACAAAAGTAGTGATTTTGGAGTCATCCAAGGCCGGAATTAGTGATTTTCGAGTGATCCAATGCCCACGGAAGAGTGGTCTGGGAGTGATCCCGTGGTTTGGAAATAGTGAGAAAATAGTGATTTACGAGTGATCCAAAGAGTGGAAAATAGTGATTTCTGACTGATCTGGGAGTGATGTGTGGTTCAGCAATAGTGAAATAGGTAATGAAAATTAGTGATTAAGTACTGATTTAGAATTTAGAAGTGATCCAGAGAGGGGAAAACAGTGAGTTGTCAGTGATTTAATTATTTCATTATGATTTGATCCGTGGCCTCGGGCCTAGAAATAAAGAATTGCAGTAATCCGCAAGTGGCCCAGAAAATGAAACACTGCTGTTCCGGTGATCATCCACAGCAGAATGTCTTTTTGCTGTATGGTCGGAAACTACAACATCACCATTTGGAAATGAGTGCTAAACCCCTTTCTTTCTGTCCCGCGTACAAACCCAGTTGAACCTTGAACCCAAAGCCCTGGCCCTTGTGGCCAACCAAGACCCTGGCCCGGATACATCAAGTCAACACGGTTGGATGCCCCTGTGACTGAGAAAACCTGACTGGAGTAGCGGACGTTTCGTGCCTGGGTGGGGGAGGAGTGGGTGTGTCTGAAGAGCACACAACAGTAAAATAAGGAGGGTGGGTATTGAATCTATGCTGTTGTTGGCTTGCTCGAAGTGCAGCTGTGGGGCCATTGGTCAGATGCACATATTCACATATTGAGGGTCTTTGTTTGCTGGTTCCCGAGCAGCCGGCTCGCATGTGACGCAGACAGATTGGGATAGTTGTCGAGCGCTGTGGAATAGCTCCAGAGGTGGACCTGCCTTAGCCTTGGCTTTAGACTCTAGACTTTAGTCTAGTCGTTTTAATGCTAGTCAGCTAGTCACCATCAATCTTAATCACACACCGTCGGGGGTTGTCGCTTGCTTACTCGGAGCGGCTTCAAAGACGTGCGTTGGCTTGGAAGCTTGCAGCATTGGCTTCCAAAGCTTGCGAAGGGGTCGCCAATTGTTATGCAGCAAGTTTGCCACGCGTGGTTGATCTTGAACCGTTTTCTTGCTTTTGAATGCTCCCTCACATTTCCAGGAGAGCTGCTCCCTGGGGCCCGCAGGCGCAGTCGTTGGAGCAGAGAACGTCCTGTGCGTGTGCGGCATCTGCCTGAAGAACTCCGAGGACAGGCGGTGCATGTCTTAGCCTTAGGTCTTCACTGTAACTCCTCTCGAATTTAGACCCGCAGCACACCGCACTGTGCCAACCAGAAATGCCGAGTTTTCTCAGTGGAACTGAGTCTGTTGTCGTAGTTTGCTCTCGATATTCTACCAGGTAGGATTTCCGTCGGAACGTTTCCAGCCAGTTTCTGGATGTAGCTCGTGGCAAACGCATCGGATTTTCGGTGTCCGACTCTAAACTCTAAACCCGGTGTTGGTTTCGTTCTGTTCTAGGTCTTAAGTTAGGGCAAAGCATGTAAGCTGAGCGTCTAGAGTCTAGAGTCTAGAGTCTATAGCGGATAGGGCGGGCTTTCATGCCAACCTTAAGCAAGACCTCTGTCCTTGTCCCATGCAGGAGGCGACATTTCCTACTGATCCACAAGGGCGGCCCACTGGGGTTGGTTGTCAAGAAGACAGAGAAGTAGGAGTACAGGTTTCGCCAGGCACTGACTTTGCCCACATAGTCTTCATGTATCACGACTCCAAGAGCCACCCCACGTACAAACCGCTTTTCGATGCGTGCAAAGCGCACTGGAGGGCAATGAAAGAAGCAGCAGCACGTTCCGGCCGTGTCTTTTTGGAGACCCCTCACATGGTGATGGGCACCAAGCTTTACAGCTCCTAGGCTTAATCCTAATCTAGAGATTGCAGAGCAGGGTGCTGGACCGAGGATGTTTAGGGAAATGGTTGCGAAGTTTAGGGAGATGGTTGCAAAGTTCTGCTTCCAAAAAGTTTTAGATTTTAGTTTTAGTTTTCGTCCCCATTGGTCCTAGCGGTCCATGCCGTAGCGGAGACCTAATCAGCCCCAAAGACGGGCCCTAGCAAGCTCGTGGAGAACTTCCGTAAGTTCGGAGGACAGCTTCAATGATAGGCCACGAATTAGCTGTACTATTTACTAGTCTTTTACTATACTGATACTGTACTATATTATACTATACTATACTGTTACTAAACTATACTATACTATACTATACTATACTATACTATACTATACTATACTATACTATACTATACTATACTATATACTGTACACTCTACCATACTGTCCTAACCATACTGTGCTATACTGTGCTGGACTATTTTATATTTTACTATACTGTAATAAACTATACCGTACTACACTATACTGCACTATACTAGACTGACTAGACTAGACTGTACTAGACCATACACTAGACGACTATACTATACGATACTAAACTAAACGCAATAGTCGGACTATCGCCGTGACCAGGTCAGCAGTGCTTCCACGACATCGGGGTGCCGACAGAGCAGGATGTGATCCAGCTTTTTGGGTTGTCGCCTGTTACTCTTGGCCTGCAACCCACAACCATGCAGTCGCCAGACTTAGGCAGCATGACTGTCTACCCGATGACACTGCATGGTCTGAGCGGGGGCGATCTCGCTGCCATCCACAAGCTCAGGTTGTCGTACCAGGTTGGTGTGTCATTCGAGGAGCAGTACTTGAGTCCCAGCACGGAGATGCATGAATCGCAAGGCGATGCATGGCTGTCTTTTGCCGCTCGTCGGCATGTGAACACCCGGCCGCTCCAGGGCTTTGGTGCTTTGAAGAGCTTCACAGCCTTGCGCAGTGTGGCGCAAAGCCAGATCGCTCGGGTCCAGGCGGCTAGCCAGTTGCAGTATGAAGGCGGCCCGAAGCGCGAGCCTGGGGTGAAGCGAGAGCCTCAGGCTGCCCAAGTCAAGGAGGAGGGTTCGGAGTGCAAGGAGTCCGACGACGAGGACACTGCGTATGCATCGCCGAAGTCCAAGCAGAGACGTGTCAGCGCGCAGCCGCAGCTGGCGATCGTGCACACACCCACAGCAGAAAAGGGGATGCTGGCGACGGGGAAGTCCGAGATATTGAAAACACGATCCGGAGTTGGGCGTGGCCGAGGTGGACGGGGAGGAGGGCGCGGAGCGGCGCAGACAGCTCTGGCGGATGCACAAGAGATGGAAGAGGCCCCCGCCCTCATGGATGCCGAAACCTTCCAGAAAGTGGATCCAGAGATGTTCCAGGTTGCGGAGATGCATGAAAGGATCAGCGGCAAATCCAGCGTTTCGTTTCAGAATCTGGACGTCCTGCGATTTCTCCAGGGAGAGAAGCTCGGGCAGTCGCTGGTTGGAGTGGCTTTGCTTGTCTTGCCACCTGGGGCCTAGATTGTGTAGAGCTGCAGGGATGCTTGGGAGAGTGTGTAAGGGTTCATCACCCAAAGTGCACAGAACATGCACCTTCGTAGTCCTTGTATATCTGTATACAGTTGTTGTTTAGCCAGTGTAGCGGCAGCGTTGTCCGTGAATGCGGCAGAGGGTGCTTGATTCTTGTAAGCTGAGACATTCTAAACTGATTCTCATGGTTCTAATGCCTAACTAGCAAGCCGTACACCTAGCATGGTCAAAGTTCAAACTCAAATGCTTTTTGGGGTCATTTGCTTGTTAAGAGTGAGAATGTTAAGTGTTTCTTGGGGGTCAAATGTTATAGCCCAGTGTACTGAGCCATGCAAAATGTGCTCAAAAAGCAGCGTGACAGCTATACTAAGTGAGGCTAGCGATACGTAGTAGCTTAGTAGCACGTCTTTCTGTACTGTCGCTGTGTGATTACTGAGATGTTTACGGAGTAGTGTAAGTGTCAAGCCAAGCAGTAAATTCCGAAGCCCTCAAGACTATCGTGAAAATCTGTGCCGATGCGCGGCAGCACGTCTGTCTGTTCGAGAGTACTCCGAAATCTTACTTCAGTCGTTGAGTCCGTGCTTTGGCACTGATTGGATATGAAAGTAGTTAGTAGAATCATTACAGATTCATTAGACAGCCAAGGGAAAGCAAACCCTGACCCTAAATGCCCCAAGCCCTACACCCTGCACCCTAACCCTAAAGTTGAGAAGTAAAGTCGGCAGACCCCACCAGTGGTCCCTGCGTGGCACTGATTTGCAAGGCCAGAAGAGCGTTGGCTAGTTTGAACGGCAGCTCAGAGGAACAGATGCTGACAAGCCGGATCTCCCTCTGCCAGGCGGCGCTAGACCTGTCCGGGAAGGTCGACAGTTTGTCCACCTCCAACTTGGTGCTGAATCTCAAGATTCTGGAGCCCGTGTTTGACACGTTCCCCTTCGCGATGCATCTGCGTGTTGTGCGGAGGCTGTACCAGACGAGGCTGCAGATCATCTTGCGTTTGGCATCACCCATGGAGCTGGACGACACAGCAGACGATGCAAACGCGCTTGAAGCTATGGTGTCCTCGCTGTGCCGTTCCTTCGCTTTCTGGGATGGAACTCAGTCCGAAGCGACAGTCATGGACCACGAGGCGCCCTCGTTCTACCCGCTCTACGTGCACCTCAGGAAGCGCGCAGAAGCCTTGGGTGAGTCCGTTGCGTGTGGCAAGGACGAGGACTCGGATGAGGAGTTCTTGCAGCTCCGTCAGGGCTCGAAGCGCAAGCGTGACGACGAGGACCCAGAAAAGGAAGAGTCCGGCAGCGAGTCCGTGAAGGACCCAGAGGAGACAGACACAACCTGCCAGGCGTTGATGCGAGATGTAGAGGCAAGTCGTGTGTTGGGAAAGATGAGTTTCAAGTCGGGCCGTCCAGACTTTGGTTCGACAGGTGTCATGCAGCATTTGTTGTCTACAGTGAGGAGTCCATGGTGTCTAGAGTCTAAAGTCTAAAGTCCCCTGAACCCTAGTGCCCCAACCCGACAGTATCCAGTCCTTTTGCAGACCATGGATTTAGGGCTTGGGTTTGGAGGTGAAGTTTCCAGACAGACCCCAATAGACGCCGCAGTAGCGTTCCCTAATTTGTTCGTTCTATGAACAATCCTTTGTCTAGGACCATACTTAAATGTTTCTTTCGTTGGATGGAGCAGAATGTTTTTGTTTGTTGATGTGGCAAATCCCACCAGCTGTATTTTGCAGGCATAGCATAGCTTTCATGTACATAGAAGAAGCTGTTCAGGAAGCAGCGCCAGCTGAGTTGCAGTGTCGATATCGCAGAAATTTACTAAGGAAACAATGCCAGTTGCTAGCTAGCTCGCAGATGGCAAGGACCCCGGCCCCTAAGCCCTCAAGTCCCTAGAATCTAAAGTCCTCAATGACTCAAGCCATAAGTCGGCCTTGAGCCGTGTCATGAACCCAGACTCGAGTAGGTATACCTCAAAACCCCTGCTGGCTACACTGTAGCGTATCGGTGTCAGTGTGTAGTAAGTACAATGGATATTTGTTCGGGGCTGGGGTTCGGCTGTTGCAATCTGACGGACTGGGCGACGGTGAGTTGCAGCGGGCTGCAATGACGTTGAATACTTTGTAACCATGCTTGCTGACTTAAAGTTTAGAATTAGAGTTTAGAGTTTAGATGTAGAATGTAGATGCTGTGATCGAATATTATTTGTTGGTTAGCAGTAGGAGAATCAGGAGAAGCACGTTGGCTTGTTCAATACGAAACCGTTTGCCGGTACAGGCATTCTGCGGAGCCGTGAAGAAGACCCTCAACGACGATGCCTTCTTGGCGGCACTGAACCACGTGAAAGATGATGCAGTTTGCAAGCGGTTGTGTTTGTTGGCGGCAGGTTTTCTTGAGGAGATCGAAGGCAGTGACGGGGCAGAAGCAGACAGCCGGACGGCCTTCTTCGAGAAGGACTATGTGGGCAAGATGCTGCAGGAAACCTACCAAGTCGGCCTGCGTTTCTTCAAGTGCGTCTGCAAGCTCTTGCAGGTCCCCACGCATTCGATCTTGAAGATCGAAGACGTTTCCCTCTACCTCCACTACAAGGGCCCAGAGACGTTCATGAAGGCAATTCGCTCCCTCCTCACCCAGCCCGAGCCCCAGAATGAGAACTTCACCAAGACCAAGGATGAGTCGCGACGCCTGCTGCAGGACTGCGTGTCCGACATTATGCGGACAGCTGCGACAGAATCCGGCGGGTCCGCAGTTAAGGACACCCTGCTCAAGCGTTTGTCGGACGTCGGGGCAGACTTGACCCCAGGGTGCTGCGAGCCGCTGCAAGAAGCTTTGAAGCAGCTTCCGGTCCTGGAACGACAGGTGCGCAAGGGCGCCACGGGCGTTCTGAAGGACTGCTTGCTAAAGTCGGCAGTCAGCCTGACGGACGAGGCCGATGCGTCAACCAAACAGAGCCGCCACGGCATGAATCCGTTTTGAAGCCGTCACACTAGACCCTAGACTCGGGAGTCTAGCCTAGCCACTGGCTACTGCAAGCCTCCAGAACTCCCTGATCGCAGGTCCTGCGCCAGAACGACGTGCGCATCAACGGCCAAGACTTGGCGACATTGATGGCTGTCTTGAAGCACTTCCGCGACGACAAGGGGACCAATGACCGCCGGATCTCTTTGCAGGAGTGGGGAACAGCGAATGTTGCGGTCATGAACGAGCAGGAAGCCTCCAAGCTGTTGGCGAAGTTCGCAACCGATGCGTCTCAGGCAGCTGCAATGAAGGACGTGGCCTTCGATGCAAATTACATGCTCGAATTGCTTGCGAAGCTGCCCAGCACTGTGCAGCCCGAGACCGAGAAGGCGTTCCAGGCAGCACTCGGGTGGTTGGTGGAGAAAGCGTTGTTCGAGGTGGGGTAAACCTGAAGCCCCCTAAGCCCAACCCTGGGTCCTAGACTCTCGGCCCTAAAATGAACCCCCGATCCGCGAGCCCTAAGCGTTGCATCATTGGTTAATCATCACTAATGATCATTAATGTTGTGAAAGCCAGAAGTCATCTTGTGGAACATGGCCGTGAAGTTCAAAAAGTAAACTCAGTCTTGCCCACTGTATCTGATATCATATAGAAAATCAGTCACCGTCATCGTCATCATCGTTAATCAAAACATTACTCATTACTCATTATCTGATCATAATGGTTATCACGATCACTATCGTTATCGCCGTCGCGCTCATCTTCATTATCATCACCAGCCTCATGATGAACATAAATCGTAAATCATTCATCACAAATCATGGAATCGTTATGCCGCACCCATTATGCCTTATACCTCAAAGTGGCTTCCCGCATAGATGCTTTCTTGCCACCCTGCTGTTATAGTTACAGTTCTGAGAAAAAAGCAGCAGTCCAAGAGAATGCCAGCTCAAAGCGTTGACCACTAGTTCGTGTGCCGTTGTGCTTGCGCCCATGCAATTTCCCGTGCCCAGGTGATGTCTGCCGAGGCAGCGGAGGAGACCACGGGTCTCATTGTTCTGCTGAAGAAGTGTGTGGTTTTGGCCAATTTGCCGCAGGAACAGGGTGCCACTTTGCAGTCCGTGCAGCAGATGCTGAAGCATGCCGTCATGTTCCGGAGCCGTGCAAAGACGTTGTTCAACTTTGGCAAGGATGCTGCGGAACGGCTCAAAAAAGGATGGCAACAAGCTCAGCGTGACAACGGCAGCTGCAACTTCCATGTCCACCTTGAAGCAGTCCTTGAAGGAGTTCGAGTCAAAGGTGCAGAATGGCCACGCGGATGGGAACAGCAAGTTGAAGGAGCTCGTCCCACGGCTCACGGAGAGTATGCACTTGCTGCTCACGCATGAATCAGCCCTGGCAGTGCCGGACTGCTTGGAACACAAAGCCACGGAGCACAAGCTATCCGTCGAAGTGTCCGTGAACAAGCTGCGAACCGTCACGCAGGGCTTCTACAATGGAGGTCCCAGGGATTGGAAGCAGGACAACAAGATCGACAACGAGACCCCTATCGACAAGGTGCTAGAGTGTGCCCGTGAGAGCATTGGCAAAGTCAAGTCGACGCCCTTGCAAGCTGACATCCTAGCCGCAAGCAAGGCCAGGCGGGAGCCATGAAGTTTTGCATTTGCTGGTAGCATACAATTAATCCAGTTGCTGCTGCTGAACCCAAGTTGTAGGCCATTGTAAGCGTGCTTGGCAGTTGTTCATTCGCTATGCCGCTAGTGACCGCTAGTGCTTCTGAGCCGGTACTGTAATTCAAGTCTGGGAAGGTAAATATTGATGGAACCGGGTTTCCAGAAACAGGACACAGCAACATACGGAGGCAGGGAAGATGGTGCATGTCATGCCGTTGCATTGCTGACACAGGTGTTTTTTTGCCAAGAAACGGCTTGTCTGAACTAAAAGTTACTAGCACAGAGTTTTGAGCAGTTTGCTGTCAGTGCCACCATGGTCTGCGCAAAAAAAACACAGTGGTTTCGGATTGCAGGCAGTCGGTGAAGCGATTTTTCGCAACAGTATGTACCTTGCATGTGGTCCTGGACTGCCGCTTTGTTTTGACTGTTTGCTGTCAGCAACGCAATTTAGCTTGGCTCGGCCCAGTGTGGTTGGTTCGACGCAACTCCCTCTCTCTCCCTCTCTCCTTCTCTCTCTCGATCTCTCTGTCTCTCTCTCTCTCTCTCTCTCTCTCTCTCTCCCTCCCTCTATCTGTTTCTCTCTCTCCCATCTCCCTGACTCTCTTTCTATATATCTTTCTCTATCT